TAAGAGCTTGTTAAGCGTGTGAGAAAATCTTTATCAAATAATTATGAACAAGACAAGTCAAGACTTATGTAAAAGATAATCAGAACGATTAAAGAAGTCAAATCCTCAGTCTGTCAAAAATCACGTAAACCTGGTAACTCGGGTGGAAATAAGAGTTATAAGCTGAATATTGAAGAAGCTAAACAAATATTCGAAATGCTATAAGAAGCCACTATCTAACCATCACGAAATAAAAGGCATCGAATTTTCTACCTCTTCAAAATTATAGAACCAAGTTAGTTTCCCTTTCCAAAGCCCGGCTTGTAAACCATTAGACTCTACTCTTATCTAGACTAGAATTTAACTCTTTACATGTTCCGCTTTTCAAAGTAGTTCTCTATCCAGCTTCTAAAAATCTTGAAATCGTAAAATAAACGTAATTCAATAATTTTCCTTCCAGATTAGCAAACATTTCTGATTCTTATTGATTCTTAATTCTTCCCTAATTCTCCGTAGTTAATAATTAGCTACCTAGCTCGATTAAGTTAACAACCTCGATTGATCCTTATCCTGTTTATCGAAACTCAGCATACTTTCTTACCTGGTCTAGAGTAAGTCCGTTCTTATTTGGTCACTACCTACATTTCTCGCAACGTAAAGTTGGACGAGATCCCTGTATATCTTTGGATAACAGGCTACTCTAAGCTTAGAGCTTCAGAGAAATACCCGGGTCTAAGGATTGACCATCCTCTACTGTCTCTTCAGTAGGCCCGTGGGTACCTTAAAGTTAGGAAATATATTAGTTCCTACTCTTCATTAGTATACTAATATTACTGTTATCATCTTTGGTAGGAAGAAATTATTATCAAGTATTCCACGTACCCAGAGAAAGACTTAGTCAGGAAACTACAGAGTAAGTACTAGACTTTACCTGTGACCTTTTAGGTAGCCACCCTGACAATTGGGGGCCTCATCGCGTGTTTGGAACCTAAGACTAACATTCAAAAGAAAACTTATCGTTTAGTTTTCATTTTTCATTTTTTGATTCATTTAGAAAAAACCAATAAATCATCCATAAAAAATATCAATTTTTTTCCCCTACTTATTAAATTTAGTTTATCTTCAACATTTCGCTCGAACTAATAGACCAGTGTTCCCTGATTCTATTCTTCGAATTACCGTATTTTTCTTTCATCCACGAGAATCCTTTCGCAGACGAAAACAATAATTCTTGTTTTAATTTCGAAGCTTCTTATTTTAATTTCCAAGCTCTAAGCCCGAGACTGCAAAATTTCTTTCAAGATTTCGCAACCAAGGAAATCGACAATTAGCGAACTCCTTGACATCAGCAAGGAACTAGGAAAGCTGGTAGATAAGTTTATCAGAATATAATACTTGAATCCAAAGGAATCAGCGGATCTGTTACAAAACATTTTCAAGATTATTAAAAAACTTGAAACTGAAGCCAATGATGGACCAGCTGCGCTGCTCTACGCTTCCAGCAAGAAACGCGTAAGCGTAGCTGATATACGTTTCAGTAATCTCGAGATCACAGCAGCGAAGCTCCTCAGAGCTACGCTTTGAGTCACAGCGCAGCTATTAAACGTTTCTTTCCAACAGCATCACCCGCAGCGTAGCTTTTTAAAGCGAACGCTGCGGTACAGAAACGGTGGCAACGGTTGTCCTGGGTGACATTTAAAGCCAAAATGGACCACTTTGATTAAAGATGGAAATGGATAACACGATCCAAGACACTAAAATCCCAAACACTGTAATCTAGGTAAAGAGTGACAACACAAAGAGACACAAGATTGGTGGAAAAAAGATAAAAATGAAAAACATTGAAAGATTACTACGATCATCTACTCTGAATTACAACTTCCTTGGTCATAGTGATCTTAAACAAATCCCTGGTACTCGTCCATCTTAGATGCCTCCATCAATTTGATGAACTCTTTACCTGAATGAAACTCCCTCGCTTGCCCAAAGTGCGCTCGACACATTCCTCTCAATGGCGATGGGTACAAGCCTTCCACGATCTGCTGTGCAGACATCACCTGCAATTGAGAAACTCCTTTCGGGTTCAGCAGAGGACCCGGAGCAGGAGAGGTAATCGCGTGCCATCCGAGCAATGATAGGGTATTGGTTACAATTAACCTATATTTATCAATTTGTGAGCAGCTGAAATAGTGAGACAAAATTTGATAAGAATTTGATAAGTCATTTGCGCTTACCTCCCACCATGCCAGAGCAGAGTTTGGATCCGATAAGTTGTAATCAGTGTCTTTCATTCGGTCACTACCACGGAGGTAGTCGGTCAGTTGATTGTCATCGCCCAAATCGTCGTCTTCATCATCACTGTATATAGCATAGACTGAAGCTTTGGAAGTTGGTTCGGATGATTGTTCGGCCTGACTTGTAAGTGGTTCCTTGCGTTGAGATCTGGTTTGATATTTTCGGAACTCTTCAGTAAACTTGGCCTCAGCCTGAATGGATATGAGTTGCAGTCTCGTCATCAAAGCGTATGAAACAATCTAATTCAAGATGCTGGATGATGCATTGCAAGCACATGACCAACGTCTCGCAGCCCAGCGCTTCGTTGAGTAGACTTTGTGTTTTTCCAGCATTGCAGCTATCATTGGGTAGAGGGCGTCGTGTATGTCAAGTTCCTTCGATCGTTCTTGCAGAGTTTTGCGAAGTTCAACATATTCGGCTATCACTATAGCCCCCGTCGGTTTGCGTCCTTCCATTCTCTTGGTGGCTTCAAGGAAGCGCTGGCAAAAAGATGTTAAAAGAATGGTTCAACCTTGATGGTCATTATATAATGGAAAATCAAACAAAAGTACAAAAGTAATTCAACACGTACCTTAAGCTCTGTGTTGAGGTTTCTAACTTGGGCCCATTCCGAGGGACTAATGGTGATTTCGTGGAAATATCCATGTGGCTTCCCATTCTTGCGAGGTCGGCGGTTTTTAGCATGAACACGAGCAAGGTCATCCTTGAGGATCTGATCGATTACCTATCATGATATCCCAGTCAGTAGATATTCATTAAGAGTAAGTGATTCAAACAAACTCAACGTACTTCTCGAGCTTTCCAAGCTTTCTCTCGACTGATGTACTTGATGTTCCATCTTATACCGTAAGCTGCAATCAGGGCTTCCAATTGGAGGCCCATACTTTTCATGATTTGTTCAAATTCTTTGCGCCATGGCGCCGATCTTGTGATGCGTCGAAGAACAAAGTCGACCTACAGGTAGCTCATCAAGAAAGCAATTGAATATAAATCGAAACCCAGAAAAGATGTAATTTCACTCACCTTGGCTAGCACCATGTCAAGCTTATTTGACTCGCGACGATGGGTAGGATGAGCTACATTATCCGGAATATGAGAAGTAGGGTCTTCATCTTCAGCATCAGCCGCGTCCCAGCTGTCCTCATCTTTGGTCACTGGGTCAACGATGATATCATCATCTTCTTCCCGATCTACCAGTGCCTGTAGGTTCGGTTCATCATCGTATTCGTCGTCTTGACTAGGAGGAGCAGGTTCATCGGGGACCTCAGATATTGGTCCAAAGTCGTCGTCTAAACCTTCTTCATCTTCTTCCACTATGGTCGAATTGATTTGGGGGAAGTTGCATTCCATCTTCCTAGGTGGTGGTGACTTGAGACCGAGTGCATTAAGTCCCACTCCAACTATCAGAGCCATCTTGTGGCAAAAGCACAAGATGTGCATAGTTTCGGGATTCCACGTATAATCGGGAAGATCAGCATCAATGAACTGATTGTGCATTTCGCGTGCCTGTGTCATGTTGTTAGAGCCCGAGTCGGTGGTCTGGCACAGAAGGTAGATATATAAAAAGGAGAAGGTAAGCTTGATGTCACATTGAAACTTGAATATAGAAGATATATAATGAAACACTTATCTTTTCAACCAATCCACGTTTGATAAAGATGTTGACAATGGGCTCTGCGAGCCACTTACCCTTGTGTTCCCATGGAACCAGCTTAAGCGTGAGGTGGCGGGTCACAAATTTCCACTTATCATCGATATAAGTGACTGCTGCACCAATAAAACCATGTCTGTTACCTTTCGTTGTCCAGACATCCTGTTGAAGACTCAGTTTGCTGGTTAAACCCTGATTCCACAGTTCCAAAAAGTATCAATCAATCAGATCAGTATAAAAAAAGAGGCAAAAGATTATATAAATAATCAGAGATCCTATACCTTAAGCTCGTTAAATACAACTTGTTTCATTGAAAGATTGAGACGTTTTGATTCATCCGCGGCCCATTTGCGACCATACATACGAGCTTCTGGTCGAAGGTACTGGACAGCTGTGCGAAGCCAAGGGTCGGCCATTCGGTTCCATGGAAGCCGTTTTGAGGTCATCCAGACGCACATCATCTGGTTGAAGGTCAGGTTTTCGAATTTGACTTTGGAACCAACAATAACAAAAGAAGATAAGGATGCGCGGTTGTTCTTGTCGGATGCTTTTGCAAGCTCAATCTCGGCAGCTGAAAGTTGTCAGCCCCCGAGCTTTGACCTTAGCAAAGCCAAAGGAGCTTCAAGTTAAAACATAACCTATATAAAATAACAAATATAAAAATACACATTTTATCTTCTTTAATATTTCCTTTAAATAACCAACATCGTGTGTCTAGTTTCAAAGACAACAACTTTTCTATCTTCTATTACATAAAATAAAATAAAAAACCCTCACACCTTGTGTCTAGTTTCAAAGACAACAACGAGGATACCACATTCCCCATTTCTAGAAGTGGAGAATATGCTATGTTTCAAAAAAGACGAATAGAAACAATATTCATCAATTCATGCCTAGTTTCGAAATCAGAATCACACTAAAAG